GTGTTATCCGAAGCATCAATAAATTGACACAAATCAGTGTTTTTTCTGCCAAGTCCCTACTCCCTCAACTTGAAGGTCGATTGGGGACTACGCTAGGTTCCCACAGAGAACTTAGAGCGTCCTTTAGGCATCCAAGTGTCACTCTCTGATTGTTCTAAATCGCAGAATTTAATTTTGTCTAGTAAAGTGGAAGCTCGTATCAGGAAATGGCAGAGGAACCACAAACTATCCCTTTTCGGTAGGGCCATGGTGATCTCCGCTGCCGCCTTCTTAACACTATGGTACCTCTTGACGACTATTCGGCTAGGAGATGAGTCATACGCGCAAATCAAAAGTTATGCCGCAAAGTACTTATGGAAACCTGGTGCCGGAGAAGAAGAAGGGTATATGATAAAGGTGGCGTAGGAAACCATTGCTCTCTCTAGAACAGAAGGTGGGTTGGGTATTCTTGATCTCTGCCACCAGAACTTGGCTTTACTGGCCAAATGGCCAGTTAAGGCAATGTTTGAAAATCCGGCTAAGTTGTGGATCCGACTCGCAGAATACATCCTCTGTGAGGAATGGATTTTGAAGACACCTGGGCTGGTTAGGCAATGCTTACTACTACCCTCCTTCACGAATCGCAGGTCAAAATCGCGTGTTTGGAAGGATATTTTGTATGGTTGGAACAAACTTCTCCCTAGAAATCTCAATCAACCAGTTTCAAAAAGAGAAGTGTTGAATAAGTTACTGTTTGATAACTCGAGTATTACCACGATAGATGGGGGGAGTTTTACAATTGGAGGAAAGGTGGGAGGCTTCAGACGAGCATGGGTTAAGAGAGAAATAGTGTAGATTAAACATATATGGGACAGGGATACTGAAGACTGGACTACTGAAGGAAAACTACGAAAAAAGCTCTCACAACTCAGAAATGTGGGCTTAAATTTGAAGGCCTTGATTGCAGGTATTCCTAAGGAATTGTCCCTCCGGTTAAAGAATTCATATGAGCAGATGGCAGGTTCATGGGTTTTCTTTGATGAAGACCAGAGAAGGATCTGGAAAGTTTTGGACCCTGATTTAGCAGCTGGATTAAGGGTAAAAGAATGACGGATCTCAGATTTCATCACTGATCCACATGCCAAGCAGGGCAACCTCCTCCGGATGACTAAAAAAACAGTCCCCTTGTAGAAAGATCTCCTGGAGGTCAGGGTACAACTAAATAAGGATGGCAATCAGGCTAGGCTCTTGGGAGTGGCCACCCAGCTTCGAACATTAAGAAAAACCCTTAGTTAAGAAACGGACAAGATTTCTTCAGTCCTTAGTTAAGAAAAACCCTAAGGTGCTAGCAAGTAATAGGTTGGATATGATTAAAAACGGTCTTCAGACCCAGCCATGTGGAAAACTCTGAAGTTGATGCCCTCTCAAAGGAATGCCAGCCTGTTGTGGTTACAATCTTTATTAGTAGTAGCATCACATTTAAACGGTGTGACTGGGGCTGGGAATCGACAATACACCTCTGGCTATACTGCGCCTTGGTAAATGAACTGTGGATCTGGTGCATTGGACTCTGAGAGGTGATCATATGAGGTTCATGGCCTTGGTATGGCGACTGGATATTGTACGACTTTAAGACCCAACAAGATATTTCTTTCAGAGACAACTGGGGTTATGTGGCTTTGATATGTAGAGGGGTGCTTCAAAGTTCTTTAGGAGATCTGGAGGGCAAGAAACTCCCTCTTGTTTAAAAGTTCTGTAATCTCGATCCAAGAGCAGAAAACTCAAGTTTGCCGGAATATTAGAAGTATGACAATGGTAGACTGGCAGAAGTGCTTTAAGAACAAGAAAAAAAGATTCTTTTGGTTTTCAAGGACTTGGGTTAAAAGGAGTTACTTGGCATCAGTAACGACAAACGGTAAACTGGTGATCCCCCGGTGACATAATCCGCGTTGGGGGAACCCTTATCCAGAGGTTGGTAGAGGTACATAGTTTTAAGCTCATTTAAAAGGAAATTCCCCAACAAATGAGAAGAGAGAAGCATTAGACTACGTATACTGTCAACAGGAGAATCTATAGAGTTATCATGGTCAATACCTGTTCTTATTACTGATTCTGATCTTTTTCAAGTATTAAGTTTCCTTGAGATCTTGATTCGTAGTTTACTAGGACATGTGGATCCCCTTTTTTATGAGCTTCAAGGTTTTAATTGGAAAAATTCATGAGATGGAAGTGAACGGACGTTGAACCCGGTTTCCAGCATAGCCTAAGTTGGGTAATGATCCCAATCCTTTCCGGGTTGTTTGTGAGGTTTCCCGACCTCGATTTCCTCATGTTTAATGAAATTTGAATTCTTCAAAAAAAAAAAAAAAAAAAGGATGCAGAGGAAGTTGCCCCTTCCGTCACCGTGTATGGGGTATTCGTAACCCTAAGGTTGCAGTATAGTGGGTTTCTGCGTCTGTGTCAAACTGTTGCATTTTTGGCGGCGGGCGACCAGGACAGAAAGTTGGTTCTTAGGGGGCAAAAAAAAATGGGGGACCAGTCCTTGCAAAAATTGGGGACTACATACAACTAGCTCGGGTAGAATCGGAACTTTTGGAAAAAGGAAGGACCGGTCATCGGGTGGAAGTGGACCTAAAAAATAAGAGGGGGGCGTTGGAGCGGGCCTCGGGTAGAAGGGGACCCGAAAAAAAAGTGAGGGCATGTGAACTGCAAAAGGGCCCTCAGGCCCAGGCGTTGAGTCCCGTCTTCTCAAAACAGGGAGGTCAAACATAACGAAACAGATGTTTTGCAAGAGGCAACTTTAACGATTTTCTGTTCTCGGACGAACCCACAGAAAAATCTGAAATTTTGAGAATCCATAGAAGAGACCGTGTTCTTTCCAGGAATAATATTAGAATATTTTCAAAAAATCATTTAGATTGTGAAATAATTGTCGCGCCAATTCGGCACATTTTTCATTTTTGCCACTCAGCCATATGTGGGCCAACTAAAAAAATACTCCAAATTCAGTGAGTTTTCGCGCTCAGAAGAATGCGTGAAAAAAACTGAAAATTGGAGCACTCGTAGATTTTGTTGTGATCTTTCCAGGAAAAATGCTCAATAAATTAAAAAAAATCATTCCAAGTGTGAAATAGATAGCGGCCGCAATTTGACCCACATTTCAATTTTGCCATTCAGCATCTCTCTCTCTGTCTCTCTCTCTCTCTCTCTCTCTCTCTCTCTCTCTCTCTCTCTCTCTCTCTCTCTCTCTCTCT